CATCAAAATGATAAATTATATAATTGATGTTAGATATTAAAATATTAACAAGAAGTGATTTTTACTTTTTTATTTTTTATTTTCTTTTTTAAGTTATTATTATTATTTTGCTTTTCTTTCTTTTTAGGAGTATATGGGAACAGTGCAAAGTTTTTTCTTGGTGGAATCTTTGATAGAATAATTTTCCCTTTAGAATTTTTTATTAATTTTTGAATGAATTTTTTTATTCATTGAGTGATATACAAGGCTTCAACAAAATATTTCCTCCTTTTTTTTTTTTTAACTAATGGGAATTTTCTTTGACAAATGGTAATGGTCACTCATAAAGAGCGTGAGAGTCACAAAAATTTTTATAGATTATTTGTTAAGATATTAGCCTTAGTTAGTTGGATTTTAAAAAAAATTTTAAAAATTAAATATAATAAAATTATATTATTTTATTAAAATATTATAAATAAATATAAAAATAATTTATTTACAATTTAAAAATAAGTTATTTTAAGTATTTTAATAAAAATTTATTAAAATAATATAATTTTTTTAGTATTCTTTTTCTTAATTTTAAAAAATTTAATTATAAAAAAATGACAATATTTGTATATCCTAAATATGTCCTTAACACTTGTCTGGGAAAGGGGATTTTCTGCACCCAGGAGTCCTGTACTTCACGTCCCATCACCTTCCATAAAAGGAGTTTGGCCAGGGCAGATTTTAATCGAAACAAAATGGTTGCAAAATTAGTACTTCTATTTAAGTACACAATGAACTTGACCTTGCCCTGGTTGTAAATTTTGAAGAAGTTTTATTTGAATAAATTTTTTGTATAAGTATTTAATTTTGAGAATGTGTAAAATTTATTAAACATATTTGAATAATTTTTTAATATTTTAAATGTTAAAATATTTTTATTTGTACTATTTACTCTAATTATAAATTTTTAAACAATTAAAATGGGTCATTTGTTAGTAAAAAAATTTGAGAAAATAACCATCACCCTAAAGTAAAGTAGATGGGTTAATTTGCATAATTTGTTAAAGTTTTATTTTAGAAAATGGTGATGAAGAGAACCACGAGATGATCCATGTTGAAGTAATCTCCAAAATTGGGTTATTCTTTTATTTTTAAAAAGTAATTAATATTTAACTTTTCAATTGTGAAAATTTAATTAAAACCAACTAAATTTTTATTTTATAGTTTAAACTGTATAATAAGAAATAATGGATAGGAAAGTAAACCTCCATATTAAGGAGTCCATCATCCTTAGTAATTAAAGTTATATAAAAAAAAAAAATTAAAATAAAAAAAAACTTTTCAATTCTACAATGCATCAAATAATTTACCAAAAATAACAAGAATCAAATGCATACAATAATAGTTTTTTATTAAAAATATTCAACAAAAAAATTTATAGATAATTTATATGTTATCACATATATTACGCTTAAGAAAAATATCAAGATTATATAAAAAAGACAATAAAGATAAAAGAAAATTTTAATAATAAAATAAATAATTAAAGTTAAGAGAACATGATAAGGTTAAAGCAAATTAATTTTAGATAAATTTTCAGTGAAAAAAAGAACTATTATTTGGATATAGATGAAAGCAATACTCCTCTATTTAACAATAATCATCCTAGTTTGATTTTTTGGTTTTTAAGATAAAAAATTTAAGTGAAAGTTTAATATAACATATAAATGACAATTCATTTTTTTTTTATCTTGTGAAGCTACTAAACAAGAACTACATATAGAAAAAGGAAAATTTTTAATTGACATTCATTTATTATTTTAAATTTTCATATGTACTTTTTGTCAAAGGTAAAAAAAAAAAAAATTGAAACCAAGACATAATTAAAACAAGTCAAAAAAAATCAAATTATAATTGTTATTGTTGAACGAGTTGACCTAAGTATGTGTTGAACTACTTCGAATTTCTGGCGTTAGTGGACTTAGGGATTGGATAGCCAAGCTTTCCCTGGATTAAAATTAAGATTGCCGTGGGACTGAGAGTCAGCCTCGTAAAAATGCTGGCTTGAAGCGTGGGTTTGAACCTTCTACATGCTAAAATGTAAAAGGTAGGGCCAATGGTGGCATGACCTGAGCATGTCCTTAAACTGCTTCAAGTTTCATGCATTTGAGGATCCAAGGGTTGAATAGCTAGGCTTTTCTTTAGATTGAGCTTAAGTTGGCTAAGGGACTAAGGGTCAACCTCGTAAAAATACTGGCTGAAGCTTAAGTTTAAATTTTATATTAGTTGAAGCATAAGTTTAAACCCTATACTAGCTAAAATGTAAAAAGTAGGTTGGGTATGAAGGTTTAAACCTAAATAAGTTCTAAAACTATTCTCAAGAGTCATCGGAAACAACCTCTACCTAGAAATTAATAACTCCTAAAACTACATACCATCGAGGTCATCAAAGACAACCTCTACCCTAGACATTAGAGAGGAAATGTCAATACAATTAGGAGCACAAGCCTCAATAAGAGTGGAAAGAGCTGTGACTACCTCCAAGATGAGTCCAAATTAGTTAAAACGATGAAAGCCTCCTTGAGATAGGTAGGTCAAGCTAGAGATCTACTACCTATCTCAAGCCCAATTGCTAAGCTAAAAAGATTTAGAACAAAGTTTGAAGTTATTAGTAATCATTGATTTTAGCATTCATATGCCACTCATTTTTATCTAATGTTAAATTTGAGATGTACAAGATTAGATATAATAAATACAGGATAGGATATAATGATTATTCACAATATACCACACAATGTAATTGTTCATTATTTTGTGGGGATATTGGCTAATTAGAATAAGCTTCACACCCATTGACAAGGGCAGTTGGCTTACCTTCTACCACCAGAGGTGTACCATACTCCCCACAAATTTGTTGTTCAAAGCATGCGGGAAGCCCCACTTCCTCATCACCTTTCCCTCTCTCTACCTCTCCCCAGCCCCCTGCCTCCCCTCTACTCCTCGTGTACAACAAAAGAAAACTATGGTAAGCTTCAAATCTCGTGATAAACTCGTTCATTCTCACACCTATTGCGTAGTTGAGATTACTATATATCCTTCGTGCTTCTTGTTATTCCTTGGCCTGCAGATCCTAGCAATTCTTACCCTATCTGTCCCTCACACCTTAGACCAAGAGGACACCACAATTTGTAATCCATAATAAATTCATTTATGAATGAAAATGAATATTATTATTTTTTATTTTAATCACAATAAAGGTTGAAAATTATATGCAAACACTTTTGTAGTTATCTGCTTGGAGTGAAATCTAAGATGTCATTGTTAGAGTCAAGATTTGTGTTTCCTCAGGAAGCATCAACAGCCGCAACTCCCATTTAAGGTTGATTGTTCTTATAAACTAAAATAAGTTCAAACTAAAATAAAAAAAATGTTGTATAGTTTAAATTGCACGAACAAATAACAAACCCTCTTATATTAGGGATAAGAGGGATTGTCACTCCAACCACCCTCAATGCTTAGCACCATTATTTCTGCATTCCCAGTACTAGGCTTTGTAACTTCTCTAGATGGTAGGAAATTAGCCACGATTTTCAAAGGAAAATGCCCTTAGAAGTTAGAATCAGTTACTTTGTAAGGCAAAAGGGCACCCACACGAACAGCAAAAATACCCAGAATGCATGTTTTTCTCCCCGACTAACGTGCTTTGACTAGAGTTGAGATTTGAGCACATTAGTGGTTTTATTTAAATGTAATTTTCCATTATAACCTCCATTGTATCTAAATTTAAGATGCATAATTGCATATCCCTCAAAGCCATTTACATAACCAGGTTTTTTCGTATTCCAAACAGAAAATGTTACTTCATCCAAACTACAGGAGGAGTGTTTTCAGTAGCACGGTCTATCTCCTCCTCTGTCATCTCGATTGTTTTGTCACTGTCATATCCGGCTGCCCCCTCACCTTTGTCAAATTTTCGCTTTCTCTTACTGGATGAAGAATTGTCATCCAGCCTACTCAGCTCATCTTCATATATCTGCTTAAAGGCCTTGGCCTTTTTGCATAGATCTTCCTTTGAGAGTGAGGCACCGCGAGTGCCATCTAACTTCAAAAGCTCCTCAACTACATGAGGGATGAAGTTCCACTGCTTGGTCACTTGCTGAATGTCCTAAATAGTAGACAAAAGTAAAGAGTCAAAAGCTGATTGTATAAGCAAGAAAATTACAGGACACCATCTACAAAGGATTTTGACTAGTTTAGGCTTTGTTTTGGATTGTTGTGTTGTGGCTGTGGCCATGACTAGGTTTTTTGGTCTTTTAATATCCTAAAAATATAAAGTATATTTAATATTTATTTTAAGCGAAAAGTGTTTATTGACTGAACTTTCAAAAAATTAGGAGGAAAAACACCCAAAACTATGCTATTTCAGTAAACTCCCAATTAAAGGAACCTATTTCCAAAGCAAACTATATTGATATTTTCCTGTGATACTTTATTGTAACATAATATTTTTAGGGTGTTTTTCCTCCTAATTGTTTAGAGGTTTGGCTGATCTCTTATTTCAATTAAATATTTTATATATTTTTGAGATAGTAAAAAGACAAAAATCCTGCAGCCATGACACTGCATGGCAATCCCAAACAAAACCTTAAGAAAGAAAATTGATCTAAGAGGAATCTGAATTTTATAGCATCTTCAGCAACGACTTTAGTAATATTGATTTATTGCAACAAGGGTTAACAAGAATGATGAAATCAATTGATGATTGCATTTTGCCTAGTTATCAAAAAATTACCAACAATCAGCATTAATCAATCAAGTGGATCTGGATCAGGCAAATTTCTATGAACTTGGAGGTGTTAAAGATACTCTCTTTAGAAAGGGTTAAATCTATCAAACACACAAATTCCATAACATTTTAGGAGAAAAGTCTTTTTTTCTCTAAGAATTAAATACCTGCTTTTGCTCAAGAGCATCTATGGCATCTTGCAAACAAGTTAAGATCCCTTCAGCAGCAATGTGTTTTATCTCACTTGGATCTGGCTGTCAAAGAGCAAAATAGAATATGAGGTCAATACAACACATATTGCATACAGATATATGGAGCCAACAATTTATATAAGTAGACAACAAAAGCAACAAACATTACTTGCCTTTTCATCTTGACTCTCTAGCCATGAGGTGGTTTTTTTAAAATCGTCGATAGCCCATTTCTTCACTTGAGAAGAAGAAAAGCTCTCTTTATCAGGATGAGAAGTTTCTTTATCCTGCCAATGCAATTACAGAGGAATATATTACCATCAATAATATTGGATTCATCACTGAGGAAAGAGGACTTGAAAAAGCTTTAGAATTTTAAAATCTGGTATGGCAATAATAAAAGAAAGCATAACAGCATTTATCAACACATAAAAAAACAATTAAATACTACCTTGGAGAGGACAGAGTTTGGCTTCGGTTTTGATCCTTTCTCAACTTGCTTATTTGATTTCCTGGGTGATTCTTTTTTATCTGCAAGCACTCTTTGAATTCAGAATATAGACTTGTTACGCAGGATAAAAAGTAGAAGCACCAAAACATCAAGGAGAAAGAGATGTACATATCAGTCAGCTACTTACCCTTGAAACTAAAGCAGTTATCAATCAGAAGAAGAAATAAGATAGAAAACTCATATAGTTAAACTAAACTAGGGCAACTTATATCCATGGGGGGAAATTAGATAGAACACTGCAACAGTAAACAAACATTATTACCCTAGAAATTTTGATGAAAGCACTATAAATATAAAATATACACCAGAAAATAGACTCCACCAAACTGCATTTATTTTTCTTTTTTCCTTCTTTTTTTTTTTTCCTTCTGTGCTAATTTTTATACATTTTTATTTTTTGCTTGAAAATTAGGCTCATTGCTATAAGTGCCCAATGTCTAGATGGCAGATTCAAAAGAGGAAATTTTGCGAAGTAAAAAGCTTTCAAGAGGAACCAAATACCATTTAATGAACAAAATATATATATATATATATATATAAGATTTTTCCTTTTCCTTTCTTTGAAGCCCAACATTCAAAATCAATGGTTAAAATTTAAAAGAACTAGGCTGGACTGGAGAGTGGACACAGAGAAGAAGTGCTCTTCACTAGCACAATAAACAAATAACTTCTCTTCCTTAATACCTTATATGCCCCAAAAAGAAGATACCAAATTGCAATACCTTGGCTAGTTTGATGAGGAATACTGCTTTTACGCCAAGGTTTCCCAGCATTCATAAGGTAAGGATCAATGTCAACAAGCTTCTTCTGAGAATAACATTCCAATATCCATTCCTGAGGCAGAATAGATAATCAGATTATACAAGGAAAATTCAATCAAGAATGAAAGAATTACAGCCAATTAAAGTTAAGATAAGTTAGTCAGAGCATGCAGCAGTTCCTGCATCTGATCTGAAGCCAGAATTATTTGCAAATTAGGATGATAGCCATAGCCAAAGATGCATCATTATTTTTAGCTTTGAATGTCACTAACATGAGAATAGTTCACAGAATAAAATCTTCAATAATTCAAAGAGATAGCTATTCCCTAATCCGTCATGGTTTTTTTTTTTTTTTCCTATTACCTATAATAGGTTTTTTGTCAACAAAGAAAATCTTACTAACAATCCATTATGCTTGCTTTCAGCAGTGAATGTCTGCTTCAATTCCTCCATGAAAGTGTACCAGAATTTTATCATTACTCACACTATAGCAAATTAAATGTAGCAGTCCACTACGCTGAAAGCTATTAAAACTTCAGAAACTCCTGCTAAAGAGGAATGATACCGACCATTTAAATGGAAAAACAAACAGACAATACTCTACACGATCTCAACTCAACTCACATTTTCAATAATTTTCTTCATTCTAGATGTGCAAAGGACAAACTCCAAGCCACCAAAAAGTCCTAATAACCCATTATTGATCCATTTAAACGGCCTATCAATGGAATTCATCTTGCTTTCTATTTCAATAACCTTAATCATTACTTCAAATAACTTCCACTTTAACAAAAATTCAATTAAAATTTACAGAGATACAAGACTTTTATATGTAGTAAAAGGAGAAAAATGGACAAACCTTTGAGACAATAGTTCCACAGTCTGCCTCAACTTGTCTAAACTTTGGAGTATTTTGGAAAGCACAAACCAAGAGGGTGCAATTTGAATCCCAGTCAGCACGGTATTCTGCCCCCATTTCCAAACCATGCGACCGCAATGTACTCCGCTCTGGATTAACAAACCCCGACAAGACAAAGACTACCCCTTCCTGTCCAGACAAAGATAAATTACATAAGCTCTTTACTTCAAAAACCCAGAACGAGGAGACACAATACCAGACAACCCCGTTACATAAATTCAGTACCAAAAGCTTGGAAAAGTCTGTCTTATTCGAACTGGGGGCGGAAGGTTTCCTATTGGGTTCGCCTTTGCAGCTTTGTGCTCTAACAGACCCAGTGCTTTCTTCGTTCTGACAGGCTTCATTCGGCTTCTTTCTTGATTTACTCCCGCTGCTTCCTCTTGAACTCATCCATGACGGAAGATTCCGCTTCTGGGTGTCGCCAGCACCGTCACCAGAACTCGACTTGGAATCCGACATGAGGAGAAACAGCTTCGAATCCACACTTCTACAGAGTGGAGACTGAGATTATCGTATTTGAGGAGAAAACTGTTTCTCGGAGAACTGCTAAACGACTTTGCTTTACCCCAGATTCCCTGGAACCAAACTCGATTCTCGTATTTGAGAAGGACTTCAATTCTGTTTTTCAGTTTTGGTTAAAGTACCGTATTTTTTCCTCTAAACTTTATCAGTTGATACCAAAATGGCCCCTAAAGTTTTTCATGGAAACATAGTAGACAGGAGGCTAGAAAATTTTTTTATCCAATCAAATTAAGATTTTAAAGTTAAAATTCTTAAAATCTTAACTTGATTGGATGAAAATTTGTGTCATTTAAAAAACCAATTATCTTTTTCTAATGAAATTTATAGATTTATTATCAAGATTTACAATATTAAGTTTTATAGGCTAGTTGTTAGGTATGCCCACTACCTTGGTAATGATCAAAGTTCAAGTCATGGCATTATCATGCTAAAATTTTACCAATAACTTATTGGTTTAAGTGAAATAAATTTGATTCTCTTTAAATAAGGTTTTAAATTTGAATTTTATGAATAGAAAAATAAGTATTAGGAGAGTTTCTCCTTTTATAGAGTCTAACTCGACTTTGGATTGATCAGAATTTAATATAATTTTTGAATATCAAAGATTAATACGAAAAAAAAAAGATTTACAACATAACTAAAGCTATTTTATAATTTGAATCGTAAAATAGAGACCCTTGAATTGAGAGAGGGCCTTAATACTAAAAATTGCTTTTTATCTAATGGTTTACATCTTATAGTTCAAACTGTATTATATTATAAAATAATTTTTTTATAATAGAATTATAGAAAATATACTTGTGATTGTGAGTCTAAACAATTACAATAAAAATTGTATTTCTCAATTTGTAGTTGGCAAGAAAATGGCCATTTGGGTGGTAATGTCATCTCCTTCTACCATCAATTAATAATAAAGTTAAAATATCAATTTTACCTCTTAATTTTTAAATTTTTACTAAATTATCCTTAAATTTCAAAAAATATCAAAATTATTCTTAAACTCCAATTTTTTATTTCCTTTCACATACAAAAAGTGAGTTGGGCATCAAGTCGCCAAAAAAGTTATTATTATCTTTTAAACCAATGACATGGAAATGAATCTTTGCCTCCTTTTTATCCACGTCAGAAGTGCTTTACTCTTTTCCTTTCTAAATGTGAGTCCCATATTAAATTTACTATTTAGCAAACATAAAATAATCTCTATTATTTAGTAATTAACGAACTTTACTTATAAATTAAAATTATTAATTATCTTCAGTTTAACAAATTGACAAACTTAACATGTTTACATGATTAATTATATTTTATTAAACACAAACAAAAATTTAAAATTTTCTCCTTCTCATTCGTCTTCTCCAACTACTCATCTTCTTTTCCAGCTAACAATTAACAAATTTTGGAGAAACTCAACAACCAAACAACAACTTATGAGTAAAATTTGCTTTTCATCTCCAAATTTCTCTCGACAACCAATCAAGAAATCATATATTAAATTTCAGAAATTTTAACAAAATTTAGGAAAATTCTTTATCATCTTCTTCTTTCTCTTTCTTTTGTTTTCTATCTCCTCCCTCATCCACCTTTCTTTTCTTCTTTCTTTTTTTTTAAAAGTAAGAATCATTAGAGAGAAAACAATGAGATACCAATTTGGGTAATTTGGGTTCTCAAAGAAAAATGAAAATGATGAAGGAAAGGGAAGGAGGAGAGTGAAAGACAAAGAAAGAGGAAGAAGGAGGAGGAATGAGAGAGAAGAAAGGAGGAAGAAAATGAATTTTGGTTTTGGTTGGAATAGTTGGGATGCGTGAAAATGTTAAGATTTGATGTAATATATCAAAAAAATACCAAATCATAAAAAAAAATATATTTTATGTTGTAAAATAAAGAAAGCAAGTAGAAGAAGAAGCGTGAAATAGAAAGACAAATGGAGGCAAAGAGACCATGAATAGGTTTTTATTCTTCTGTCTTCCATCACTTTTCCCAGACAATAACAAGCCCTATATATAAGGTAGTAGGATGGTATAAGATGCAAGAGTTACAATATAAGAGTTAATCACTTATTAAATGAGAATAAATCACCATTTGAATGCATGACATTATAGGGTATTAATCATCATTGTAATTATATGGAGATAATGTAAATTATACCATTATTCACTATGTAAATGTCATGAAAAGCAAAGAGATTGAAGAAGAGGAAGGTAAAACATCTATCATGAATTAATTCATAACATTTTCTTTTATATTTCACCTGCTTTTTTTGGTTTAAAAAAAGGAAGGTTAAAACTCTTTTTTGGTCCCTGAACTATTGTATGGACCTCGATTTGGTCCCTGAATTAAAAAAATTCCTGATTTGGTCCCTACTATTTACCATTTTTACCCCGATTTGGTCCTTCCGTTAAAAATCCAATGATGTGTCCCATTAACTAACGAAAAATGATGACATGTCAAAATATTATGACACATCAATATCATGTCATTAAAACACGTCAGATTTCAGCCAACAAAAAAAAACGTGAGGCCTACCTCCTGCCAAAATCACTGTCTTCTCTCCTTCTTCCCATTCACACCCTATACGGCAAACACTAATAGCAGCCGTTGTGTTCTTGGAACCTAGGCGTGGGTTTGAAGAACCTAGTAAGCTTGGGTTCTTCAAAGGAACCCCGACACGGGTTTGAGTGAACCCAATGCCTGGGTTCGAAGAACCTAGGCGTGGGTTTGAAAAACCTAGCATGCTTGGGTTCTTTGAACCCGTGCCTGGGTTCCTTCGAAGAACCCAAGTGTGGGTTTGAAGAACCTAGCACGCTTGGGTTCTTCGAAAGAACTCAAGTGCGAGTTCGAGGGAACCCAACGCCTGGGTTTGAAGAACGCAGCAAGCTTGGGTTTTTCTAAGGAACCCAGGCGCGGGTTCGAAGGAACCCAGCGCCTGGGTTCGAACCCAAGCCTAGGTTTGAAGAACCCAGTAGGCTTGGGTTCTTCAAAAGAACCCAACACGCTTGGGTTCTTCAACAAAAAAATAAATAAATAATTTTTGTATTTTTGTGGGTGTTGTTTGATGATGATGAAGAAGGAAAGGAAGAGGAAGGAGAAAGGGAACTAGGAATGCCCAGTTGGGTTTGAAGGAACCCATTGCTTGGGTTCAACGATCTTAGGCTCTGGGTCTAGGAAATGAAGAGGAAAGAGAAAGAATTTTTAAAATTTTTATTGCCATGTCACTAGTTGTTGCCTTGTTGTCTTTCACGTGGATTAAAATTTTGACATGTCATCATCTTACCGTGAATTAATACTATAGGTGGAGAGATTTTTAATGGAAGGACCAAATTAGGATAAAAATGGTAAACAGTAGGGACCAAGTTAGGGATTTTTTGAGTTGAGAGACTTAATCAGGAGTCTATGCAATAGTTGAGGTACCAAAAAGGGGGTTTAACCAAAAAGAAATGATAATTTGGCAACTGACATGCCACCTATCACTTCCATCAACGAAAGCATCAAAATTTGAAGTTTAAGGACAATTTTGGTATTTTTTGAAGTTCAAGAGTGAATTTGGCACAACTCTGAAAGTTGAGGTAGTAATTTAACCTAATAGTAGTAATAGTATAATTGCCATTGGGGTGAAAATGTCATTTTGGGTAAAAATGTCCTTTTACACCTCACTACATGTCTTGTGGTAGTTTTTTTATAATATATAAATAATAAGAGAGAAATGCTTTCCAGCTTATTTTCTTAAATTTTTTATAGAAAATATACCTAAAAATTTATATTTTAAAAATTTAATTGTTAAATTAAAAGTTTTATTTATATAGAGTATGTATGTAAATTTTAATGATTATTTAATAGGTCTAATTACTTTATTAACTATAAAAAATTTAATATTGTTAAATATATATCAACAAAGAAAATTATTTTGATTAAAGGATTATAAATATTAGATTAATATAAAAATTAATACATATGATTTATATAAATAAAATTTTTAATTCAACCATTAAAATTTGAAAATATTAAATAAATCCTCTAAAAAAAATTTTAGAAAGATGGCTTACTCTACGCTAACCTCAAATAATAATTTGATTTTTTAATAGGAAAAGATATTGTACACTCTAAATTATTCCAGGCCTGATTTAGGGTGTATTTGAGATTATTATGAAGTGCTGTAGCTGTGGTTATGGCTGTAATTGTGTTGGATTGTATTATGATGTAACTGTGGA